CCCTAAACCCTGAAACCCTAAACCCTAATCCCTAAGCCCCTGAACCCTAAACCCTAAACCCTAATCCCTAAACCCCTGAACCCTAAACCCTAAACTTTTGAACTCCAGGCTCCAAGGCTCGAAATCTTCCGCATGAGCTCCTTTAAGGCATCCTTTTGGGTTCGGGGTTTAGGGTTTAGGGTTTAGGGTTTAGGGTTTAGGGTTTAGGGTAACTTTAAGGGATCCTTGGTATCCATTATGGGCTGACTTAACGAGTCACTTGCTCCTTGTATAGGCTTCCCCAATCTTCGCATTGTATGCTAACAATTCAGGGTTTAGGGTTTAGGGACCCTAAACCCTAAACCCTAAACCCCCTCAGCACCTAAGCCGCGAGGCGCCGAAAAGTCGTTGATTGTCGGTGCAGGACACGATTTGCTTCCGGAGCGACCTGCAGAATTTCACCATCCAGGCGCTTCTTCTTAAGGGTTTAGGGTTTAGGGTTTAGGATCCGAAATCCAACAAGCAGATCCCCTAAAGGGGGTTCCACCCGGCACCCTTCGTTCATGGGGTCCCAGATTAAGGGATCTACTTTTTGGATCCTTCCGGGGGTCTTTCTTAAGGGGACTAGAGGGTGCTACCGGGTTGTCTTGTGGGTTTTCTTAGGGCGTGTCTTCTTTCGGTGCCCAGGGAGGGTCTGAGTTTCAGTTCCCAGGAAGAATCATCTGGTTTTAGATCTGGGGCTTTTCAAAACGCCCTGAAGACCTACACCTACACCAGGGCTGCGAGTTTAGGACCCCGAAGCTCTACACCCTAGTCCCCAAAGCCTATAAGCTCGATGAGCTCAAACCATCATCCCTAGTCCCCCAAGTCCCCCCCGCCCCAAACCCTAAACCCTAAACCCCTAAACCCTAAACCCTAAACCCCCTATGCGAAGCAGGATCAGTGCTCCAGTGCGACGCCCATGATCCTCCAGCCACAGCCGCAGGCAAGATCCGCCACAAAGGGGCTACTTAACGGGGCCTAAATAATCACCAATACTATTTTGGGGGGGGGTTCCTTATTATAATCATGATATAATATAACCCAAAACCCTTTTTGCTAATTATTAAGGCCTCTACATTACTTAAAGGACCACGGGGCTTAATAAATAGGGCTTATACAGACGGTGAAGGGTTCCATCAGGGATCCAAAAAGGTTTGGGTGTAGGATTATAAGGGTCATAGGACTTAGTGACTAGGGCTATAAATCAAGGTAATACTTATAATTACTTCTACCCTTGATGACAGTACTTATAGCCTGACTTACTAGGTCCTCTGATCCTCTAAGTAGGCCTTGCTGACTTATTGCCCTGAATATCGGGGCTGCAACGAACAACGAGAGTCGGTTTTTGGGGGATACATCGGGGTATAGTCAGAGTTGCTCAGATAATGGGGCCTATAAGGAAATGTCATTACCCTAAACCCAAAACCCTATACCCTAAACCCTAAACGCTAAACCCTAAACCCTAAACCGTTCCGACCCCTTTGTTATGTTGCTCCTAGCAGAATGTGTGTCTGTGTGTGCGGGCTGCAACAGGACTCTGAAGCCTAAGCCTAAATGGGTAGTTCTGTAAAACTAAGGTCCCTTTTGTGGGTCCTTGCCCTGAACCCTAAACCCTAAACCCTAAACCCTAAACCTTAAACCCTATTAAACCCTAAACCCTGAACCCTAAACCCCTAAACCCTAAACTGGGGCCTGAATTTAGAGAATTACTTAAAAACTGAGTCCTCAGCCCTGGATAGTGCCGCAAGTCCCCGCCACAACGGAATCCCATCATGTAGGGGTCCTTTCAATTACCTATAGTATTGGGGGGCTCCTTATTATAAACATAGTATCAAGTAAAGGGCCCCAAAACCCTTCTAATTTTTTAAGGCCCTAAAACCCTAAACCCTAAAAGTAGCCCTATATAGAGCCTTTTAAGGAGCCCTTTAAAGGAACCTTGTGAAATCCTATTTTAAATATTAAGGCCCCTAAAACCCTAAACCCTAAACCCCTAAACCCCTAAACCCCTAAACCCCTAAACCCCTAAACCCCTAAACCCCTAAACCCTAAACCCTATTCTAATTACAAAGGCCCCTACATTTTACCCGGAGCAGAGCCCTGCCCCTGTGGCGAGTGCTCTCGGCGGTTGGGATTTAGGTCGACCCGGAAGTTAAAGGAAACTACAGGTGGGGAGTTTGGGGACTAAAGAAGGGACCCTTAAAGGGTCCCTTGGGCTTCGGGCTTCGGGTTTAGGGTTTAGGGTTTAAGGTTTAGGGTTTAGGGTTTAGGGTTTAGGGTTTAGGGCTTAGGGTTTAGGGTTTAGGGTTAGGTGGGGAGTTTAGGGTATATAGGGCTTCTATAAGGCTTCTATAAGGTATATAGACCTTCTATAAGGCTCCTATAACGGTAACTACCCACCTGAAAATGTCCTAGACCGAAGCCGCTTCAGGTTT